GTAAAACAGGCAACATGAAGACCCACTTCAGACCACAATTATTTTGAAGTTTTTGAAATTCAATTTGTCAGTGTGCTACCAGGAATTTAAAAGAGGATACATTTATAAAGCAATAGTTAAGTTTGATGAAAATTGGTTGAAAGATTAATGAAAAATAAGAAAGAAACCAGTAAAAATCGCCATTTTTAGCTATTTACGCGGGTTTTCACTATATGAGTGGACTCAATTATGAAGTTAAATGACTGTTAAACAATCAACTTATTGTTGGCTACAATTGAGTGAAGTTTGTATTAGATTTCTTGAAAATTGAGGGAGGTTTGAGTTTGTGTTTTTCGTTTTTCGCGGTTTTTCGCTAAAGGCAGTGGCGTAGAATTAAAAATGAGGTATCGATGAACTCGTCATGATGTAAGTAACCTACATACCGAGTTGGAACGAAATCGGAGAAAAAATGTTCAATTTATCAATTTTTGATCGGCTTTATCGATTATTGATTTTTTAAAAATTATCGATTTTTTACGCTAAGAACCTATCTCTTTTATTGTACAATGTATAGGCCAACATCGGTCAAAATCTGTTGCATGGATCTCGAGTGAAAAGGTATCAGACAGACAGACAGACACTCTCTGTTTTACATATATAGATTAAGATTGGATATATTATTTTAAATAATACATGTTATATATTTGGGAGGTAATATTATATGTTTATTTTTGTCGAATATTTTATTATTATTATTATTGTTATTATTATCTTGTTTCTTCTGTAGATTTTGTTTGCTTTTCTTCTAGCATTATGCATAAAATAATAAATATTTTGAACGTTTATAAAAGAATTTTCTATATATATTTCTTTTTCGTATAAATATTATGGGTGACACACTCTTATTTATCTTAAATAAAATTCCATAATCTTGCAGGATTTTATTCTGTTACAGTGTTGAGAATAATAGTTTATGAGGTCATTCTTGCTGGTAGATTTTCTGTAAACTTTTAGGTCGAAGCCGTATTTGATTTTATTTCGTAATTATAAGTAACATCCGCCGATCTTGAGACACCATAGATCTGTGCCCAAAATTTATAGCCGTACAGGCTCACACAAGAGGGACAGTCTCGATTGCAACCAATGGATGTAAAGACGTTCTCCCCCTGTGTTGCCGTGTTGTTTTCTATCCATCGAGCACACTTCACGCAGGCGGCATGCCCACGTTTCTTCTCTCCTCGCTCCAGCCCTCGATGTAAATCACGTCTCCAACGTGAGCGAACGTTGGAGACGTCATCCCACAGCTCGATGTCCATCGCCTTCATGTCACCGTTGTAGACGTCCTTGAAGCGAAGATGAGGCCAACCGCGTGCCCTTTTGCCAGTGGCCAATTCCTCGTTCAGAAGGATCTTCGGAATCCTCCCGTCAGTAGACTGTTGCTTCGCGTGTTTTGTTGTCGCGATGACGCGACGCTGGAGTGTCCTTACCAAGGCGCGGGTCTAAGCAGGTTTTTATAAGAGATCGGCGGTTGCCAATGCAGCATGTCTCTTCTCTTCACGC